TTTATTGGTTTCATTACATAGTCATGAATGACTGGATCAACCTCCCTGCCTCCACTGAGGTGAACTGATTATCAAGTCATGTGGTAGTCTTTCTGGTGAAGCCCACTCCACCCTAATGTTAATGGACAAAAGCTCCCAGGTGTGGTTTACAGGTTTGGAAAATGAAGGCATCTCAATTACTAAGGAAATTCCAAGGGGCTTGGGTTTTCTTTCAAGAACCAAAGACAAAAGCTAAATTGTTGTTGTTATTGTTAGATCCCATCAAGTCAGAGCCAATTCATAGCGACCCGATGTACAACAGAATGAAACACTACCTAGTCCTGCACCATCTTCATAATTGTCCCTATGCTTGAACCCATTGTTGCAGCCACTGTGTCAATCCATCTCATTGAATCAGGTCTTCCTCTTCCTTGCTGACCCTTGATTTTACCCAGCATGATGTCTTCCTCCAGGGACTGTTCGCTCTTGATAACATGTCCAAAGGACATAAGACAAAGTTTTGCTGGCCTCATTCTAAGGAACATTTTGGCTGGACTTTTTCTAAGACCGATGTGTTCATTGTTTCTGTGGAGCCATTGGTGGCTTTGAACCACTGAGCTTTTGGTGAGGAGCTGAGCACCACTCCACCACCAGGGCTCCTTGGAAAAGTACTGAATTAGTATGAAGAAAATTTTTAGTCAACTCCTCCCCTCCCCCAGTAAGGAGGCCTCTGAATGGAGGCACCTGAATTAAGAATGCAGATATGCCTACGAGCATGGCTGGCCTAGAGGGGCCTGAGCCCTTGAGTGCAACTTCCCCCAAAAAACTGTGCAACAATCTGGTGTAGGGAGGGCACCTTTTCCCCATGAGGCCTGCCAAAAAGCCTTTGCAATTGCCTGTGGTCAGGCCTGAAAGAGCACATGTAGGATTTTGGCCTAGAACTGGACCAGTCAGCTCACTGCATGAACCAAGAATCAGGGCATTGTGGTTCCCTGGGTGGATCTGAACTGAGGAAAAATAAGGCTGAAAAACTTGACTCCCATTCTATTGCACACCTTCGGCTATGTCCAGTTACATTATTCAACACAGCGTATCAAAGTCCAAAGGCGTTAAAATCCAAAATCATATTGTCTTACCTCCTCTGAGTTAAAGTATCATTCTTTTTGATTTTTTGTTCTGCTCATTCTCAGCTGTAAGAGTTGTTCTTTCAGAAGCTGTGATCTGAGCTCTCTCTTGCTGGAACTCAGATAATCACCCCAGGCGGAATGGTATTGCCAAACACACTATTTGGTGAGATCCAAAAGAAGGGAAGATGGATTGCTCTCGCTAGGATGCAGATGTCCATGCCAATTGTCTAGAACCCATCATCTGTGAGCTTAAACAGTAGCCTCCAAATATACTTCTGCCTGGGACTGAGGGGTCTCCTGCATCAACTGTCTCCTTTCTTATGGAATCAAGTTGAGACATTGCAGCCTTCTAGTAATGTCAGGAAATTACAACAGGCACAACTCTAAGCACCAGTTCTTACCTGAGATCCCCACCTTCCTTTCTCACCCAGCAGGTCCTCATCCACTGATATTTCCATCTCCCTTTGTTTTTTTGGGTTCCCAGCTCTTACCTTCTGCACTGAGCGCAGGCTCTCTCTAGGAATACAGTCCTCACAATATCTTGGGGATAGACAGTCACTTTTTTCAGTCCTGTGTCTCAGTGGCTGCCACCACTATCATGGTTAAGGACTATTTATGGAGTCCCTCATGGCACAAATGGTCAAGCACTCAGCCAGTAACCAAAAGGTTGTTAGTGCGAATCCACCCAGAGGACACTAAAAACCTATGTGCATTTCTACTCTGAAACACATGGATTCACAGCAGCTGAAACTGACTCAACAACATTTTGGGGGGGGGTGGTCTTAAGACACCTGATTCGGAGGGAAATTGTCGCTCCTTCTTGCCTTTATTTCAGCTAGAAAATATCCCTGTTCAGATTCTCACACTGAAGCTACTTTTGATACATCTTAATGCTGTTCTCTTCGGGGCTTAAAGAGGACCAGCACCTCTGCCGTGTGTCCTAGTGGCACCACCATTCGCAGTTCTCCTCTGCTTTTCAGATCTGTAAACACCTCCTCGCTTACCTGCTATATCACCTTGAAAGCCAGAAACTCTTTATTTTCATTGTTGAACATGTGACTTTGACACTCATGACTCCCTTCTGCCTTCTTACCAGAACAGATTCTTGCCTAATATTCTTACCTCCTCCACAGATCCTTTCTGTGTTCAGGAAATGTGGTCCTATCCCCACTCCAGCATTGGTCCATTTTGGTATTACCCAAAATCTATTCCCCCAGCAAAAATCATTGGTGGGCATGTAACCTAAGCTAGTCCAGTTAGGATAAATCTAGGACTTCTGCTTGCAAAACTAGAGAAAGAACTCTTTCTCTCCCTGGTTGTCACGAAAAGGGAGAATTTGGCTGGCAGCCATCCTACAACCTTAAGAGCAAACCAAAAACCAAACCTGCTGCCCTCCAGCAAGCCTATATGACAGAGTAGAACCACACAGAGGGTTTCAGGGCGATAATCTTTATAGAAGCAGACGGCCACATCTTTCTCACATGGAGGAACTGGAAGGTTCAAACCACTAACCTTTTATACATGCTGCTAAAAATTGTATGGAAAAATAATCATTGTTTCTATCAAGGTATCATCATGGGGTACTTTATACTTATTCCAGACATGAGCCTACTTCTGCCCAAACTAATTGAGGGACGACTCTTTGAGAATGGAGAGGTGAGTCTACATCTCATTTTTTTAAATATATACTCACTGGTGAAGAAGCCCTGTCCTGTGAGGTTACATCTTCCTTTTTGAAACAGCTAAAAGTTATTCACAATCGAGTATGAGTAGGTAGGGGACCAGTCTGAGTTATGGCATTTCTGGGTTAAAAAAAAAAGTTTTTACTTATGGCCGGTTTTCTCCTTGCTTTCACATTGGTTCTGAAGGCAACATCTCTCTTTTGAACAAATAGAACCACAATTTCATTATGAAAGAAAAAGCGTTCACTTCTTACTTGTACTCTGGTGAATTCTGGCTTTTCCCTGACATTTAAAAACATTTCGATACAATTGAAATTTAAAAATAAAACTAATCCTTAAAAAAATAAAAATAAAAAAAAATGAACATTCCTTCTTAAGAGCTGAAACTCCAGTTTACAGTTGTCAAGTTGCCAAGGCAACTATTAACTTGCCATATTAACACCTGCATATGACATCATGGAGTGAGGACACTGTAAAGATGGAGTGGAGAAGCTGAACAAGTATTTTGCTTAGTCTGGTTCTCTCAGCCAACCAAAAAGGAGTCCAGATGGTTTCCTCACTGTGGCCTCCCACATTATCTTGGACACATAGCTTGGATGCATTTAGAGTTGCCATTTTATGGAATTAACTGTTACCACTTCCTTGTAACTTACCAGCCATTCCAATGAAGAAAATACAATGAAGTAAAATAGAGTTTGGAAAGAATCACTTGATCCATTGCCTTTCTCCAAGAAGGCTGTTCCCAAAGCAACCGAAAGATGCCAAATTCTATTCTATTTTTAAAATACTTCCAGTGAAGGAGTTTTCCTCAGTAACTTATTTTGGAATCACAGATCCTAAAACTTCGGTTTTAGTTATAACAAATAATCATACAATTATTCTGAGAAGCGTGGTAAGAAAGACACAGGAGAGATTGTATTAGTCTGTCCTTTGAGGGAGCATGATTTCCCATGAAGCTAACCTTTGGAAACAAACTAAACTGATAAGACATGAGGAAGTCTGTTGATTTAATAATCTGACAAGCTTTTCTATCAAGTCACAGTATTTTGCAGAGGAGCAAATACTGAAATGGGGATTTTTCTCTGGGGTCTGGATTTCCTCATGTGGACCAGAAGGTGATCAAATGATATTTTAGAGCATCTTTCTTCAAAAACAGTCTAAGAGCAGACATCTGTTTTCATGAGACAACTACAAAGTTGGGGAAGATGCATGTTTCATTTTTTTACATTTAGAAACAAATGTTTAAGGTGCCTAGGGGAGAGAGTTTCTCTCCTTATTTAAGCAGAGTGTTGAAAACAATTTTAAGAAGTTCTGCCATCTCTATTAGATCATCCAGTCATCTAAGTCCAAAAGATAAAACGAATGTTACAGACGCACTAAAGAGAAAAGTTAGTGAATAAGAGTCCTCCTTTTAATTTCTTCTAATTAAAAAAAACAAAACAAAACAAAACAAAACAAAAAAAAACAGTACCTGTTGTGTGGAAGGAAATGAGAAATATTATAAAAATTTATTTTCACGTCGTGCACACAAATATCAATGGGCAGCAGAAAGTTGATCTCTTGGACCAGTATGATCGTGAATCATTCAAACTGCAAGCCATTTTATTTATCAATGATGTCAGCACTCAAAGTTGTCCAGCTAAAACCCACTTCCCCTTGAAAAGGAGAAATAGACCGAGGGAAGATATAAAGAGCTGAGAGTGGTGTCACAATGCCTGACTATGGGGAGGAAGCCCACAGCAGTGGCTGTGGGAAAGTGAGCCACAGGGAAATGGGGGAAATGACAGGGGTCAGCTAAAAGGGCCAAAGGGAAGGGGACCAAGGAGGGCCATCGGTAGGGGTGAAATGGAGAAATCTCAGAAACCTAGTGGCGAATTGATGGTATGTAGATGGTAAACACGCCTGCAGAGGAACTGGATAGCAAGATCCAGAACTAAATCCAACCACATGATTAGAAGCAGAGGAAGAGGAAGGTACGAGGAGGAAAGAAAAGGAGGAGGAGAATACGAAATCGGCTTGTTGCCTTATCTAGTGAGAACACAGGCAGTGGAAAATTTAAGCCTAGCCATGTAACGGGTAAAGGTCCTTTTCTGCTCATCACTCTTACTTTCTCTATAAGCCTATTAAGCAGAAGGTCAGTAACGAGTATACTCTTTCATCTCTTGGTTTAAATTTTCTGAGGGAGCTGAAGAGGCTGTAGGTTCAGGCAGGATTACAGTGGGAACAGCTTATTGAAGCAGGGTTGGCAGTAGGTCTTGTCATTCTGCTCCCGGAAGATGCCCTTCGACAACTGGGTCAGGCAGAAAGCACACACAAAGTGCTCCGGGTGGAACTTGTGCCCCATGGCGCTGATGCAGCGGCCGGTGATGGGCTGCCCACATCCACGGCACAGGGTTCCTCGGCGGTGATGGTAATGCAGCTCGCAGAATGGACGTCCGTCCAGTTCAAAGAAGGAACCGGCAGAGAAACTGCTGAAGCAGTCCTGGGGATGAGAAGAAGACAGGGGAAAAGACGTCAAGAAGTCAAACTACCTGGCCGAGTCCAACGTTTGGTCTTGAAGTCCTGCCAGACCCCCTTGCCAGTCAGAGGGATTTCACTCAGGTGCTCGGCAAATGGGGGCTAGCGTAGTGCCAACTTGCAAAGCAGACAAGCAAATGCTCGCGACAGGTGTTATGTTCTGTTTCTCCTTAGGAAACCCACATCATTTCCACCCACTGTGGACCCTTTACTCTTTGCAGCTCTGCCTCTCAGAGAGAAGAACCCCTGGCTTTCCCTAAATCCAAAAGATAAGAGTATACAGACCCCACACACAAAGCATTCTGGGTGCCAGACAGTGTCCATGGCTGACAGGTAGTTTTCCAACACGGGGCGGTTGCAGCCACCGCACCTGGGTGAGAACATGGCTAAGAAATCCTTTCGGCAATATGGCTTCTTGTCCTTCTCATGAAAGCCTGGGGAGAGAAAATTAAGGATTTGCTGCTTTAGTTTGAGCCTGAGAGACACCAGTGATCTAACTCTCTCAACTTCATCATCAAAATGTGGCTGATAATAGCAACCTACCTTAAAGGGTTGTTAGAAGAAATACCTGAGATAACGTGGTAAAATGCTTTCGCATCGTGCCTGGTTCATAGCAAGCATGTCGTAAGCATTGGCGGCTGTCTGGGTTCTCTAGTGCTGCTATAACAGAAATTCCATGTGGTGGTTGTGGTTGTGTGACACCTTGGCTGGGCCTGGTTGAGTGGCTGGGCAGCTGGTGGTAGGTATGCCCCATGAGGAAACTGGCAATCAACTCCATGGTGGGATCTACCACAAGCAGCTGAGTAGCTGCCTTTGGGATGTGGTCTGCTTCCCGTATATAAGCAGGAACTTTGGGAATGGTCTCTAGCCTGTGGCACACTGGACCCTGCATGTAGCCGTGTCATTATTCAGCAGCCTGCCATGCTCTGCCGAGCTGAGAACTTACAATGGACTTAAGTCAATGGCCGGCAGTGTGGTTTGGTGACATCGGGACTGTGCCTTTTTACTTGTCAACCTTGAGGCTTCTCAGCCTCAGCAGCCAGTAACTGTCTGAGTGAAGAGACACCTCTAGCTCCAGGGGGCCGGCAGCAGGAGGCAGAGCTGGACTCCAAGGTTGAGGGGCTTTCCCCCAGCCCCTAGAGCCTGGCACTTTGAACTTAAAGACTCCCAATTGTAAGAATAAACTCCTGTTTGTTTAAGCCATCCCATTTGTGGTTATGTTTACTGTCAGAGTGGCACTAGGTAACCAGAACACACCACAAAGGGGCTGGCTTTAACAAACAGGCATTTATTCTCTTACAGCTTAGGACGCCAGAAGCCTGAGTTTAAAGCGCCAGCTCTAGGGGCTGGGTGAAGGCCTCTTGACCTCAGGCTTTACTCTGCCTCTTGTTTCAGGCCCACTGGAGCCCGAGGCTTTCTCTGACTCACCCAGCTGCTGGCTGCATGACTAACCTGATGAACCCAAGCTCACAAGTAAAATAACAACATGGCAGACCACTGGTTCGAGTCCAGGAACCATCCCCAGATCAGCAGGCAACATGGCAGGCCAAGACTCAGCCAAAGGCAGGGTCCAGATGTACCAAAAGCTAGAGACCGTGCTCAAAGCTTCTCCTTTTATACAGGAACCAGGCCACACCCCAAAGGGAACGACTAGCTGCTCATAGCAGATTCCACCACTGAGGTGATTACAATCTCGTCAGGGGGAAAAACGACATCCAGCTAGGTGTCCAGTCATTCAAAACCACGGCCCCGCCAAGTTAACACACAACCTTCACTACCACAGTGGCTACACCTTTTCCGTGCCTTTCCTCTAAGTATTCCTTTGGCCTAGACAGTTCTGCCCCAGACCTTGACAGGCTGCCCCTTTTTGTGACTCAGGAATTGGCTGAAAATCAACTTACCAGAAAGGCCTCTTCTCATTCTTTCTCTATCACTACATCTTTTCTTTTCTTTTTAATTCTTTTGGTCTTCCTACCATTGACTAGGAACTCTAGTAGTGTAGTACTTAAGGTATTTGACTACTAACCAGAAGGCTGGTGGTTCAAACCCACCAGCCACTCCTTGGAAGGAAGACTGGGCAATCTACTTCCATAGTGATACCATCTCGGAAACCCAAGGAGGGGTCACTAGGAGTCAGAACTGACTCAATGACAGTGAGCTTGGTTTTTTGGTTTTAGCATTAACTGCCACCTAATATCATCCTGTTTATATTCTGTCTTCCTTCACTGGAACAGTAGCTCTGAGAGAAACTAGATATTGCTGGTTTTGTCACCATGACATCTCCAGTACCAAAACAGCACTTGGAAAAAATCACCTAATATTTTAATATAAAATACTACTAAATTATAATAATAATACTTCTTACTCAATAACTCAATTTGTGATAGCAAGAATAGCTAGGAACTTAGGAACATACTATACAAAAAAAAAAAAAAAGAAAAAGCAATTCTGGGTAGCTTAGGCTTCATGTAGGAGCTCTGATAGCATAGTGCCTAAAGCACTTGACTGCTAACCAGGAGGCTGGCAGTTCAAACCCACCAGCCACTCCTCAGAAGGAAGGTTGGGCAATCAACATCCATAGTGATACTGCCTCAGAAACCCAAGGAGGGGTTGCTATGAGTCAGGTCTGACTCGAGTGCATATAACCACAACATAGCCCTCATGTGGGGACAGATGTGGCAATCTGCTTCCGTAAACATTACAGCCTTGAAAATCCTATGGGGAAGTTCTACCCTGTCCTACAGGGTCACTGTGAGTCAGAATCAAGTCAAGAGCTGTGGGTTTAGCCCAACACATATTATACTATTGCTGTTGCTACATGCCGTTGAGTCAATTCCAACTCACAGTGACCCTATCAAACAGAGCAGAACTGCCCATAGGCTCTTCTGGGCTGTCATCTTTACAAGAACAGGTCACCAGGGCCTATTTCCCACAGAGCCACTGGGTGGGTTCAAATGCCAACTTTTCAGTTAGCAGCCAAGTACTTAGCCATTGTGCCATCCAAACTCCAAAAACCAAACTCACTGCCATAGAGTCAATTCCGACTTATAGTGAACCCCATTGGGTTTCGGAGGCGGTAAATCTTTACAGAGGTAGATTGCCCCATCTTCCTTCTGTGGAGTGGCTGGCGGGTTTGAACCGCTAACCTTCTAGTCAGCAGTCAAATCCCTTAGCTACTGCACCACCAGAGCTCCTTACTGTACCATGAGAGCTCTATAATTAAGAGTGGAATACTGGCACATAAGTAAACAGGTCAATGAAAAACAATAAAGTTCAGAAATTGACCCAAGTGCATATCGAAATTGAGTATACAGTAAGGAAGCATCTCAAATAAGCAAGGGAAGATGTATGTGAGTGTTGGGACAACTGAAGAGCCATAAGTAGGAGAGACAGGCAGACAGACAGACGAGGTGGGAAGGAGACAGAGAAAGAGAGGGAACTGGATACGTACCCCATACCACATACTAGAATAATTACCAAATGAATCTAAGATCTAAATGTAAAAATTGAAATCACACAAATACTTGAATTAACAATGGATAGATTCATGTCCCTGGTTAAATTTGTTCCTACATATTTTATTCTTAGATGCTATTGTAAGTGGAACTGTTCCTTTAATTTCTCTTTCTGATTTCTCATTGCTGTGTATAGAAACTCAACTGATTCTTTTTGTTGACCTCTTACCCTGTAACTTTGCTAAATTCCTCAATTAGTTCTAGAATCTTTCTTGCAGACACTGAACTGGACGTGTAGAAACTGCTGAATTGGTGTATGTTTTGTTGTAGAAATCTCAGCAACAAATAAATAAAATTTTAAGAAAATGGAATTGGAATTGGAAAACTGTATACGTATGTCTTAAATTTCAAAAGCAATGAAAGATTGATAAATTTATCTATATTGAAAAGTATGCATGACCAAAAATCACCATAAGCAAAGTCAAATACAAAGGATAGAGGAAAATATTTGCTAATTATATTCCAGAAAAAAAAAAAAAAAGCTTATGTTCCTAAAATAAAACCTCACTCACTGCCATCAAGTCAGCTCTGACTCATAGCAACACCTCCTTGGGTTTCCAAGGTGGTATCACTACGGAAGGAGATTGCCCATCCTTCCTTCCGAGGAGTGGCTGGGGGTTTGAGCTGCCAGTTTTCTGGTTAGCAGTCAAATGCCTTAAAAAAAAAAAAAACTCACTGCCGTCCAGCAGGATCTGGACCCGACTCATAGTGACCCCTCCTTGGGTTTCTGAGGTGGTATCACGATGGAAGTAGATTGTCCAATCTTCCTTCTGAGAAGTGGCTGGTAGGTTTGAACCGCCAGCCTTCTGGTTAGCAGTCAAATGCCTTAGGAATGGTGCCACCAGAGCTCTAAAAAAAATTAAGCCCAAAAGAGAAATGAACAAAAATATAAAGAGATAGTGACTAGACTCAAAAAGGGCAAATGGCTCCTTAACCTTTGGAAGGATACACAACCTTAACTTACACAAAGAGCAACACAAAACTAATGTAAACTGTATAATTTCTTACCTCTCCAACAGGCAAAAGGCCAAAGTTTGACAATTTACTCTATTGGTGATCCTGTGGAAAAATAACCCCTCTTACCGGTGTTTCGTTCTGCTGTACACAGGGTTGCTATGAGTCAGGACCAACTCGACAGCACCTAATGACACAACAGCATACATTTCTAGAGGAGCTCTCATGGCACAGTAGTTCAGTGCTCAGCTGCTAACCCAAAGGTTGGCAGTTCAAACTCACCATCCTCTCTGCAGGAGAAAGATGAGGTAGTTTGCTTCTGTAAAGATTACAGTCTTTGAAACCATATGGGGCAGTTTTGCTCCATCCTACAGGGTCACTGTGAGTCAGAATCGACTCGTTGGCAATGAGTTTGGCTTTTTGGTCTACTAGAAATTGTTGTTGTTGTTAGATGCCGTCAAGTCACCTCCGACTCATAGCAACCTTATGTGCAACAGAATGAAACACTGCCTGGTCCCGTGACACCTCATGATTCCTATTATCCCTGAGCCCACTGCTGCAGCACTGTGTCCATCCAGCTTGTTGAAGGCCTTCCCCTTTATCATTGACCCTCCACTTTGCAAAGCATGACGTCCTTCTCCAGAGAATGGTCCCTTTCTGACAACACGACCAAAGTAGATGAGACGAAGTCTGGCCATTCTCGCTTCCAAGGAGCATTCTGACTCCACTTCCTCCAGGCCAGATCTGTTAGTTCTTTTAGCAGACCAGGGTACTTTCAGCATTCTTCACCAACAACACAACTCAAAAGCATCCCCTCTTCTTCGGTCTAACTTATTCATTGTCCAGCTCTCACATGCATTAGCCACATCTTAGTCTTCAAGGAGACATCTTTACTTTCCAGCACTTGAAAAGACGTCCTTTCAGCAACAAATTCCTATTTGCTGATAATTACATATCTGGCAAGG